CCCCCACCCTCCTCCCCCCTTTAAAGAACAGAAATTTATTGTCTCATTATTTTGGAGGTTAGAAGTCCAAATTAGTGCTTTGGTTCTAGGGTCCTTCCTTGTTGTTAGACTCCAGTGTTCCTTGGTTCCTTGGCTTTTCTTCGCTTATAGATGAGTCTTCACATGGTTTCTTCCCTTTGTATGTTACCTTTAGTATTCTTGTATAAAACACCAGTCAGAAGAGATTAGGTTTAGGACTCATCCTACTTTAATATGTCTTCATTAACATAACAAAAGAATGCCCCTATTTGCAAACACGGTCATATTTACAGGCACAAGGGTTAGGCTTTAATATAACTTTCAGGGGGACACAATTCAGTCCATCCCACACCCTCACAGACATCAATACTGACAGCCTGGCACTCTTCTTTGGGCGTTCTTTGGGCGTCTGGTTTTCAGCTCCCTGGGTCTCTTTCTCCAAGCATCTCAGTTTGTTCTTTTTTTCAAAAATTTATACACAAATTGTTTTGTGACATTGGTTGCAATCCTTGCAGTGTGTTAGCACTGTCCCACTTTCCCTTTCCACCCCGTGTCCATTCATCCAGTTTTCCTGTCCCTTCCTGCCTTCTCGTCTTTCCTTTTGGGCAGTTTGCCCATTTGGTCTCCTATACTTGATTGAACTAAGAAGCACGTTCCTCATATGTGTTGCTTGTTTTATAGGCCTATCTAATCTTTGGTTGAAAGGTGGACTTTGGGAGTGGCTTCATTTCTGAGTTAGCAAGGTGTCAGGGGGCTATAGTCTCAGGGGCTCCTCCAGTTTCAATCAGACCACTAAGTCTGCTCTTTTTTGTTGTGAATTTGAATTTTGTTCTACATTTTTCTCCTGCTCTGTCTGGGACCCTCTATTATGATCATTGTCAGAGGGGTTGGTGGTGGTAGCTGGACACCATCGAGTTCTTCTGGGCTCAGGCTAGTAGAGGCTGTGGTTCTTGTGGTCCATTAGTCCTTTGGACTAATATTTTCCTTGATTCTTTGGTTTTCTTCATTCTCCTTTCCTCCACAGGTGATGGGACCAATAAATGTATCTTAGCCACTTGCAAGCTTTTAAGACCCCAGACACTACTCACCAAAGTAGGATGTAGAACATTTTCTTTATGAATTATGTTATGCCAGCTGGCCTAGATGTCACCTGGGATAATGGTCCCCAGCCCTTAGCCCCAGTAACTCAGTCATTCAAGGTGTTTGGATGTGCTAGGAAGCTTCTATGACTTTGCCTTGGTCAAGTTGTGCTGACTTCCCCTATACTGTGTGTTGTCTTTCCTGTCACCAAAGTTACCACTAGCTACTATCTAGTGATTTCCCCTCCCCACCCTTGTCCTCCCTCATAATCATCAAACATTGTTTTTTCTATCTAGAAACCTTTTCTTGGGTTTTTATAATAGTGGTCTCATACAGTATTTGTCCTTTTGTGATCGACTTATTTCAGTCAGCATAATGCCCTCCAGGTTCATCCATGTTGTGAGATGTTTTGCGGATTCATCATTGTTCTTTATCGTTGCATAGTATTCCATTGTGGTATGTACCATAATTTGTCCATTCGTGTCTTGATGGGCACTTAGGTTGTTTCCATCTTTTTGCTATTGTGAATTATGCTGCAGTGAACATGGGTGTGCATATGTCTATTCATCTGACGCCTCTTATTTCTCTAGGATATATTCCTAGTAGTGGGGTTGCTGAATTATATGGGTTTCTATTTCTAGCTTTTTGAAGAGGTGCCATAATGTTTTCCATAGTAGTTGCACCGTTTTACATTTCCACCAGCAGTGCATAAGAGTTCCAATTTCCCTGCAGCCTCTCCAACATTTGTTATTTTCTGTTTTTTTTAGTGCCAGTAATGTCGGTGGGGAGGAGATGGTATCTCATTGTGGTTTTTGATTTGCATTTCTCTAATGGCTGGTAATCGGCAGCTGTTTCCTCATGTATCTGTTAGTCATTTGAATGTCTTCTTTGGTGAAGTGCCTGTTCATATCCTTTGCCCGTTTTTTAATTGGATTATTTGTCTTTTTGTTATACAGGTGTTGGGTTTTCTTTTAGAGATTAGACCTTTGTCGGATTTGTCATAGCCAAAAATTTTTTCCCATTCTGTGGGTTCTCTTTTTACTCTTTCGGTGAAGTCTTTTGATGAGCATAAGTGTTTAATTTTTAGGAGCTTCCATTTTAGGAGCTTCCAGTTATCTAGTTTGTATTCTGGTGTTTGTGCATTGTTACTTATGGTTTATATTGTATTTATGACATGGATTAGGGCCTGGGGAGCTCTGGTAGTGCAGTGGTTAAGACCTCAGCTGCTAACCAAAAGGTCAGCAGTTCGAATCCAGCCACTCCTTGGAAACCCTATGGGGGCAGTTCTGCTCTGTCCTATAGGCTCGCTGTAAGTTGGAATCGACTGGACAGCAACTGGTTTGGTTTGATGTATTAGGGCCCCTAGCATTGTCTGTATTTTTTCTTCTGTGATCTTTATTGTTTTAGGTTTTATATTTAGGTCTTTGCTCCATTTTGAGTTATTTTTTGTGTATGGTGTGCGGTATGGATCCTGTTTCATTTTTTTTACAGGTGGACATCCAGTTTTGCCAGCACCATTTGTTAAAAAGACTGTCTTTTCCCCCATTTAATGGACTTTTATCTTTTGTCAAAGATCAGCTGACCATGGGTGGATGGATTTACATCTGGGTTCTCTTATTTGGTTCCATTGGTCTGTATGTCTCGTGTTGTACCAGTACCAGGCTGTTTTGACTACTGTGGCTGTGTAGTAAGGTTCTGATCAGGTAGTGTGAGGCCTCCTACTTTGTTTTTTTTTTTTTTTTTCCAATAATGCTTTGCTTATCCGGAGCCTCTTTTCTTTCCATATAAAGTTGATAATTAATTTTTCCATCTCATTAAAGAATGCTGCTGGTATTCGGATCAAGATTGCATTATATCTGTAGATTGCTTTGGGTAGAATTGACATTTTCACAATGTTCAATCTTCCAGCCCATGAGCATGGTATATTTTTCCATTTGTGTAGGTCTCTTGGTTTCTTACAATAGTGTTTTATAGTTTCCTTTGTATAGGTCTTTTACATCCCTGGTTAGATTTATTCCTAAGTATTTTATCTTTTTAGGGGCTGTTATAAATGTTATTGTTTCCTGATTTCATTTTCAAAGTTCTTTTTGTTGGTGGTGTTCTACCTTTTTTAAATTTAGTTTTTATTTTTATCAAAATTTATACATGCACATAAAAACTCATTGCCGTTGAGTCAATTCCGACTCATAACGACCCTATAGGACAGAGTAGAACTGCCCCATAGGGTTTCCAAGGAGCAGCTGGTGGATTCAAATTGCCGACATTTTGGTTACCCTGCACATAGTTTAGAAAATCAAGCAGTTCTACAAAGCTTATCATAAAAACTAGTAGCCCTGCAGTTATTCACTCCCACTCCTGGTGCCTGCTCTCCCAAGGAACCTACTTTTAACTTTTAGCTGATTCTTTTGGTATTTACGTCCGTTTCATACTATATTCCTACTGCTCGATTTTTCTGTTTTAGGCCTTATCTGCTGACTTCCCACTATGGAAGATGATAATTTCACTTACTTTCTTCCTGTGCTCCATTAAAAAAAACACACTTCCCAGCCTCCCATTATAGTTATAGTATACTTTTGTCAAGATTGGTATTCAGCTTTAACATCATTATGAATATCTAAATTCTAGTCACAGCTGAGTCGTACATTGTTTTCCTTTCCTGCTCAGCCTTTTGTCTTCCCTACTGACGATAATTGTCTTATTTTTATTTTTTTATTTGCTGTTTTTATTTTTTGCTCTTATCACTGGTTCTTCTCCAAATTCTCCAAATGTGTTCAAACGCATTGCAGTTCTATTAATATCATCATCTTGCAGAAGTCTCTCCTCGAGACTTTTTACCTACTTTCTAGATAATTCAGTCTTTGCTCTTTAGTCATATTAAGATTTCCTTTTTTTGCCGTTGTCAAAGTTCCCTTTATCCCTCTCTGTGTTGAATTGCTTGTCCTGCATCTCACACTTTCTCATTTTTTTGATTGATGGAGCGTGTGTTCCAGAAGCTTCATCAGATCTTGGATGTATTAACAAATTTTTGAGATTGCGAATGTATAAAAAATTATTTTTCTCCCATACTTAATAAGTTTGTCTGGATATAGAATTCTAGTTTGAAAATGTGTTTCTCACGCTTCTAAAGGCATTGTTCCATTGTCATAATTTTCAAAGTTGGTGTTGAGAAGTCTGATACCATTTTGATTTTTTGTATTTTATGTAAAACTTGTTTTTGCCTTTCCTACAAGCTTGTGGTCTTCCTTTTTTTTTTTTCCCTTCCAATTTTCTGAAATTTCAAATGATGTGCATTGGTGAGGGTATTTTTATCCATTATGCTGAATACTTTATGGGCCCTTTTCATTTGGAAACTTTTAGTTTAGAGAAATTTTCTTGAAATGTTTCTGGAAAAGTTGATGTTCTCCATTTTGTCTCTTTCTCTTTCTGAAAGTTGTATTATTTAGATATGAGACCTCCTGGACTGGTTCTCCAATATTCTTGTATTGTCTGTTTTTTTAACCCTGTCTTTTTGTTCTACATCCTGAGAGATTTCCTCAATTTTATCTTTCAGTCCTTATAAATTTATTTCTTCCTGTTGTATGTTTAATTTTCAGAGCTATTTTTTAGTTCTTTGAAAGTTCGTTTTTTATAACTTCCTGTTCTAGTTCCTCTTAACTCTCTTGGGAATAGTTATGATGTATTAAACTTTTTTTTTCAAGTATCTTCTTGCATATTTCTGTTTTCTCCAAGTTTTTTTGTTTGTTTTTTTTAGTTTTTGTCTCCAACTTTCTTGTTAGAGACTTCATTAATGTTTGAT